TATAACAAGAATAAGGAAGCTACGTAAGTGAGTAAATATTTAATATTGCTGAAAAAATCTGAATTAAAAAAAACCTACATCATTATTACACTTCGTTTTTCGACCTGCATATTTTAATGTAAATACAATAAATTAGAGAACAGGGAATATTATATGTTTTATTCGAGGTTTTGTTAAGTAAATTTACTAGTATGTAGAATATTATGCTTCATCCTTATTTATTTAATTTTAATTAATTTTAATTTTTTCCAGTAAACGACCACGACTGAGTAATACTTATAAATATATTTCTGAGCATAACAATCATCTTGTCGATTTACAGGTTGTAAAAATGAATTAAGTATGCATAACTTAAAATGTCATTGACTCTTTTTTTTCTTCTTATTTAATAAATCAATGCTCAATCCAGCCCTTAAATTCATCCTAATAATACAAAAGTGCGAAAAAAATATCTGATTGCCTATAATCATGAGCACTTTAACCGCGAGAAGGTATAAGCTCAAAGTTTCAAAACCAACGTACCCTTGGCGATTTTCGAAAAAGTTGTCAATATTTGACAAAAAATCCTTAAGAAAACATAGTTTTTGACCCAACACGGGCACCTTTCGCCGATAAATAACGCGTACGCGGCCAAACAAACCGGAAGGTATAACTTTTATTGCATCGCCGAAAAGTCCGCGCTCCCAATTACCGCAACGTCAACTTGCGGCTCCTATGCGCGCGCGCATCGTCATATATGTACTTATGCTCGAATCAATAAAACACCCCCCGATGGCACCCTCCGTTTATCCTTAGCAGCGCGCGCCACTCGGAGGCTGTGTCAGAGCGTGGACCAGCCAAGACCGAACAGTAGGCTAAACCACCTCCTCGGCTCCGGATCTGCGTATTCGTGACATTTTCATGGCATAACCCACTTTGTACGATAAAACAAAAACAAAAATAATAATAATAATATAGGCGCCATGTCGCAGTACTCGCACACTTGTTCGCCCGAGGTGACAGGTAGGCCCAGCATCCATATATCTCGCGGGTTCGTGTCGGCCGACTATTTTCAATACGTATCCTGCATGCGATCTTGAGTTTTGTGTGTATACTCGCGAATGGGAATGAAGGGTGTATCCGGGGTGCAGCACCCGGAGCTTTCTGGAAACTTTTTTTTCTCCTCCCGTCTAAATGCGGTTGGCTCGAGTTCTCTGGATTACTTTTTATGATGACAAGGAGGTTTTTTCTTTTTTTTTTCGAAACGACGACAACTGTTTATTCGAAGATTTTGGAGTGTTTCGGAGTTTCACTATTTGAAAATAACATACACATATAAAACAAGGTAGATCGAAAACCGCAAAAACATTATAATTTTGTTCAGAGTGCAAAATCATTTCCTAGAAAATTATTGTATGGGCCTTGACTAGGTAACGACGAAGAATCATTGATATACGTCGTAATCAAAGTAATTCAAAGTATAATTGTACAAAATTGATGTTACACTCTGAAATCTCTGGTTCTTGGAAGATTTATTGAAAAAAATTGCCATGAAACATCAAGTTTGAAAAGTATGCACTAGGAGAAGATAGGAAAAAAGAAAAAAAAATTTAATTGTAAAGTAAATGTAACTTTAACTTTTTGTCATCACGTTGAATACAATTGGTTTAATAATTGTTAGTTATTTTACCTGTGGAATATTAGCATCAAGTTGGCGATTCAGAGCATCCCTTTCCTTTTCCACCTCTTGTAGTCTGGCCTCAGTTTCTTGGAGACGTTCTTGGCTCTCTCTGAACGACTCCATAAGTTTGTCTCGTTCATCGAGTACTGAGACCATGAGGTGCTCAAAGTTCTGCTCATCCCCAGAAAACTGGGAGCTCCTCTGGCTAATGCTATCCTCTACTATAGTCGGCATCACGTCGCACATCATATTCCACATTTTTTTTTATAAACTGCACACTTGATCGAAATCTTTTCTTTATTCGTCACCTCTTTGATTCACAATCTGTTCTCTTAACTATGGTGTAATTCATTGAATTACCACTTTATCAACCGATTCAATCGAAATAAATAATTTAAAAAAAAAAAAAATCACTATTCAATGCTCGAGCATAGTTGTTTCTTTGATCTAAAAAACTCTTGATATTTATTCATCCACTCTCTTAATTTATTTTTAACACAGAAACACATCCTCATCCTCGGCTTCTCTCGGCAAGATCGTAAGACCCTGTTGAAAAAAAAAAAAAAAAAAATGTTCAATAATATAAAAAAAAACTAATATCAGCATCAAACAAATTTATTCAACTTTTAAAAATACATGAATAAAAACTTCGAGACTTTCATTCCAATTTACACTAAGAATTTGAAACAATAAGCCACAAGCCTCAAAAACTTGAAAACTAAATGATGCTAATTAGCAAACAACTTTTTTCCGAAAAAAAGCCCTTGACATAGAAATAAAAAAAATAAAATAAAGACAAAATAAATGTATCACACAAGAGTGTGCAGCAGAAATATCACTGACATCAAGATAAAGATAAGGTGTACAGCTCGTTGGCTGAAACTGTGTACTATATTTAAAGAACCCCGTAAATCCGATTCAACGCAACGTGGAGTATTGATTTTACTTCTTTACTACGAATACGCGTATATATATATATATATATATATATGTGTGTGTGTGTGTGTGTGTGTGTGTATGTATATAATATACAGCCACAGCACGTAACGTATTCGTGCGGATCTTAAATACAACACTCTAGCACAAATGTAGAAAACAAATCATCAATTCCCGTACGTGTACGACGAACCGATGTATAATATGAGGTACCTCCCGACCGTAATACAAAAGGATATTGGTAACACGGGTACACCCACGCACTACGCTTATAGATTTTTCAATCTTATCGTCAATCGTATCTCTGCTGCTGCACCAACGTAAGTAGTCTGCTCCGTTTTTTTTTTTTTTCTTTTTTTGTTCAACAATTAACGAGCGCACGACGACCACATATTACACGCACACTTGCCCATTCAACACAACAGAGCTGCAGGTAAAAGTACCCAAAACCCGAAACTAAATGCACAGAACAACTCACCGAGCAGGCACGTATATACTGCACGAAGACGAGGGTCAGGTTGACCGGTTTATCCCAAGAGAGTGCGAGAGGCGAGAGGAAGAGGAGGACATTGATGAAGAGGATGAGGACTAGGATGAGAGAAGAAAATGATGACGAATGACAGTACGTATGGGTGTGCGTTGTATGCAATGTATAGAGATAGAGGGAATAAGAGACACTCCGGTATGCACCGAGTACACGGTGAACGTTGGCGGCGTCGGCACACCTCAGCTCCGGGCGCTGGCACGATGGCGAGGCCCTGTTAGAGTGCTGGCCGGGCCGGCTGGCACCTCCTGGGACCGGGGCTGCCTTTGCCGGCAAGCCAAGGCTCTTCTTGCCTTCACCTCGCCCTCCATGATGCGCGATAATTTATATACTATCACCACCACCACCACCACCACCAGCTTATCAGCTATATACCAGATAGATAGGAGAGATACACACCTCGCGCACTCGCACAGATATACGTTGGTAGGTATATGATATGGAGGTACGGTCACCACACACGCCAGGAGCAATAGGAGCACCAGAGCAGATGTATATGTTTTCTCTCGTGTTGGACGACGATGATGTCTCTGCAGAGGTTTCGTTATATTCAAGCGATCAATTGATGTGTCGGTGCTGCACTTTCCTTCCACCACCCGGTGCTTTGGAGCCCTGCCCCGGGTGTGAGCAAAGCTACCGGCTCGTCCCTCTCTCTCTCTCTCTCTCTCACCGTTCCAAAGTGTATATGTCTATATAAGACGAGGGGTGGTTGCTGACGATGGGCCAGCTGCTGGGGTGACGGTGCAGACGCTCTTTCTCGCCGCCCTTCGCAGCACCGGGTACAAGTACGGGCACTGTAGTACTACTACGTACCCCCTGCCACCCTACCACCTACGGGGGGGGGCGCACACACACACATACCATATATATATATTTATGAACAACAACACACACACACACACACTGTTGATGCACCCACACACCCCTTTTCGATCGCGCACTCTCTGCCACCTCCGACGAGGACGTAGCTATATAGCTCCGGAGATATAGTAGTCTTGACTGCGCGGGGGAGGAGAGAGAGAACTCTGTAGTTATAATATATACTAGACCATGGGGAGAGTGCTTTTCTTGGGGGGTGGCGCTCCTCGCGAGCTTGACAGGGCTACTACACTATATAACACGCACGGTACGCGCGCAGCCAACAGCACATACACAACACACCCCTTGCGACGCTCTACGTGTAGAAATTAATGTACTCCTGAGAGATGGTTGTTGGTCCCGGGTTCTCATGCATACGGGAGAGATGGGAGTTCCGGACGATGCATCAACGTTGATTCATCTGCATATATATAACGTGCAGAATGTAAACTTGGTCTGCTTCTTCTGCTGCTGGAGAGAGTTGCCGTTTTGCGCGTATCAAGCACAACTTTTAGGTTAGCTCTCTCCGAGGAGCTCATCTGCTGATGATGCAGTCGTAAATATATTATCCATTGGCAAATTACGTGTTACGTCAACGCGATACGCACGCGAACTTCATTCGAGACGACAAATGCATGAAGATAAAATTCACTGCACAGAAAGAAGCTTGTGCGTTTTAACTCCCAACTCCACTGACGCGAATGACGCGACGAAACGACGACAACTGTTTATTCGAAGATTTTGGAGTGTTTCGGAGCTCACGTAGCAGAAGAGCAAATTTACAAGTGGCTCCCTCTTTTTAGCGCGTTGTACTAACTAGTAATGTTATTTGTTTGGTGGGGGGTGTAGTTTGAACACAAAAACTTTGTTAGCAGATCTTTTTTTAATTAAAACGAGGCTCAATTAAAGGGTAATTTTATACACACGATACACATTACCCACATCAGTTATCGACACTAAGTTGAGAAAGAACTCGATTTGATTGACAGAGTTATGATCATTTCACATGTCTCTAAAAAACCAAATTGATTTCTTGAACTGCTTCTATTTTAGTTTAAAAAAAAATATAATATGAGATCGCATCAACAAAAGGTTTTTCTCCTTTTTTAATCGGAATAGATTTGCGCAACACATCTTTGTGTGTGCTCTCTCTCTCTCTCTGGTATCGCGCGCGCAAAAGCTTTTCGGTTCAAAATATCTGAATTGACTCGTCCGATTTATATGTTTGATCCTCCAAAAATTTCAACCTGTGATTTTGAGTAAACCCGAGCTCGTCATCATTTTATTATTATAATT